CTCCCGTCGGAGCCCTTCCCCGCCGCCGCTCCGGTGGTCAGATCTCGCGGACGACGTTTCGGACCCCGAGCCGCCCCGCCGTCCCCACCCCGCTGCCTGGCCCTCGCCGCCGTAGCCGCACCGCCCAGCGTGGCCCCCTGTCCAACCTCCCTCGTGCGAGGCTCCGACTCGGGCTCGCGGAGGTTGCCGCCGCGGTGGCCGGGGTCCAGTGCAAAAGCTCGGGCCTTGGGGCACTGTGGGGCTTTGCCGGAGCCGGCGCCGCTCGTGGGGCGTCGCCAGACGGTCCAACCTTGGACCTGCCCGTGCCTCGTGGAGGTCCTCCCCGGCCTCCTCCTCCCCATCTCCTCCGGCCACTGGCTCGTTGACTACCTGCCCCTGCCCGAGCTCCTCGCCCGTGGTCCTCGGCCCTGTTCTCCCCGCCCGCAGCTCCCCGTTTCGGCCATTTATTGCGCGATTTGGGTCTTCCGGCCTTCAGTTCCAGGCCTCCTGGCCGCTCCGTCGCGTCCGGCCGTTCGCGCCATGCTCCCCCGCGGCCGCGGAGCCGGCGGCGGCGGCGCCTGCTCGTCGAGGGGAAACCATCCGAGTGGGTACCCCGCCCCGCTCCTTGGGCCCTGGCGTCCTGGGCCGTGGCCGGGTGGCCAGTTTGGGGAGGATGGCCAGCCTGGCCCATCGCGTCCTGGATCCGGTCCCGGCTGGGGATGCCCTTGTGGGCCGGCCCCCCATTGCTGGGCCGCTTCCTTGCCCTAGGCCCACCCCTTCCGCATCCAACATTTGGCTGCCCTACGGTTTTCCCCTTCGTCCCCAATCCCCTCCAGCCGCCTCCAGCACTCCCTCGACCGAACCCTTGCTCCCGCTCGTGCCTGTGTCCTCTTCCCTCCTCCCTAGCGCCGCTGCCGCCCCTCCCTGCTCGCGCCCCTCGGCCATGCCGAGGGATTGGGAGGATGGGGAGGCCAGGCGCAAACGCCGGTTCGACGACCTCCGAGACGCCCCCGCCCCTCCCCGGACGCCCTCCGGCGCGAGGAGGACCTCCGCCGTGAGCTGCGGGGCCGGGACCGCGATGCCCCCCGCCCGTCCGGCCGGGATGACCGCCGCGAGGCGCTCCGCTCGCCTGGCCGGTCCGATTGGCGCGGCCGGTCACGTTCCCCTCCTCGCCGCCACTCCCCCTCCCCCCGCGTCATCGGGCGCGCTCTCCCTCGCCCCGGCACTAGCGCCCCCCTATCTATGTCCCGCGGCTCCGGTGAACGCGGCTCCGTCCCGCAAGTACGTCCCCCCTCACGCCACCTCGGCTGCTCCGCCAACTTCGGGGGTTGTGGGTGGGGGGCAGCAACAGCGCGGCCGCTAGGGCCCATCTAAGAAGAAGCGACGTGGCTAGGGGCGTGCCGCGCTGAACCAAGCCGGCCGCGTGAACCCCCCGCCTACGGCTCCTGTGTCCGACGCCACCCGGCCCACCTGCTTCAACTATGGCACTGTTGGCCACTCTCAGGTTGACTGCTCCAACTCCGCCTGCTGCTACATTTGCAAGGATCCCGGCCACCCCGCCCTGCTCTGCCCTGACAAGCCGGTCCCCGACAAGCTGCGGATGTACGGGCATGGGATTGAGGGGTTGGGGTTCTTCCATATCGAGGTCCCCGATGACTCGCCCCCGCCCCCTTCCCTCCAGGCCGTGGTCACGGTGATTGATGGTGTGGCCTCCCCCGAGATGATCGAGGCGGAGCTCAACCATCTGTACCGACGGCAGTGGGAGTGGGCGGTCACCCCGATCTCCGGTTCCGAGTTCTCTGTGGTCTTCCCCGACGCTCTCAGCCACGAATACGCCACCCGCAGCGACCAGATCACTCTCGCCCTCAACAAGCTTGTCGTCGACATCTCCGAGCCGATCCTCGTCCCGAAGGCTGTGGCCGTCCTTGACACGGCTTGGATCCTCATCTCCGGGCTCCCGGACATTGCGAGGTCTAAGCGTACCATCCGTCGCATGTCCCGGATCCTGGGGAAGGTGGTGGTGGTCGATGAGCTTTCCCTCCGCAAGGAGGAGGTTCGGGTCAAGGTCAAATGCCTCGACTCTACCAAGCTTCGTGCCACGGTCCGGGTATTCTTCAATGATCAAGGGTTCGACCTTCGCATCGCCCCCGAGCCGCCCAACCATGTGGGGCGTCCCCGCTTCTCCGAC